ACCCCATATGGATCCTGTCTTTTTTTCTTTTTTTTAAAAAAAGGGGAATAAAAAAGTTTTTTTAAAAGAATTGTCTCATTACCCAAACACCGTGTGGGAGAATAGCCTCTTTTAACCATTTTTTCATTTCAAAACCGCGCGCCAATTTTTTTTTTTGTTCCGGGCATTTTTTTTTTTCCCCCCCTTAAAAAAAAAAAAAAAAAGGGGGGGGGAAAAAAAAAAAAAAAAGGGGGTGTAAATATCTGTTACATTTATTCTATGAGTTGTAGCCTACACATGCGAAATATTCCCATGACTTGTAAACTATATTATCTAAACGCATCTTAATCTACCACACAATAGGACACTGTCCAACAATGAATACACAGAGACGATCGTATTTACAAAGTATGCATGCTTTTACTAGTAGAGAACTGGATTTATTAGACTAATAAATCCAGCTCTCTGCTTACATTTTTGTGACAAATTGATCCAGAGCATTGCTTGGCAAGGAGGAACCTTTTATGCTGCCAAGTTTCATTCAAATATCATGACTTTGGGAGAAGATATAACTGATAATCTTTGTAAATCTGGGTAAATTTTTACTTATGCACCCACACATAGATGCATTGATTTGAGGGCTAAACTGCCATAATTTTTGCTGTAGAACACATATGGCAATTAAAACCCTTGCAAATCAATTGTTTTCAAGTGCATATCAATCCCAATAGCCAAAACATCAAATCATTGTGAAATGCAGGGGGCATGCTGAAACCCCCTAAATTTTTTTTAGGTCAGGGGGGCAAACCCCCCATATAATTGTTTAGCAATGCCAATGAAATTTTAAATTTTCACTTTAGCCCTTTTTATTTTGGTACCTAAGAAAGAATTTTCAATTCTAGGAATTATGCTTCTTGAATTTTAAGAATCGGTTCATTAATAAAAAAGTTATGGGGTTGTAAAGGTCGGCAAAATATGGACGACCCACATATAGGAAAATACTCCTAAAAAGTGGACCACGCAGTAGCAGATTCTGTAAGAAAATCGACGAAATCTCGGTAACTAATCGGAGTCTTCGAGAGAAACTTGGCCACCCGATGTGTTTTTGAGTGTAGAAATCATTTCTGCAGTCAGATTTACTACCAATTTCGTAGTTATTTTGTTATAATTAAAATTTTTGTGTACATATTACGATTTTGCGAAAAAGGGGTGTCGGGATGAGTCCATTTTATTTATAGCATCGTATCACAACATGGGATCTTTAAGAATATATGTCGGCAGCGTGACTAAATAATTGCAAAGCTTTTTATGATGACTTTAGACCATGCCAACCGTAAAAGATAAGTTAATTCAATCTAGCATGCCGTACAATTTTTAATTCTTTTTCCCCGTTGAGACGCGAACACCCCGAGACGAGATAACCTCGCCTCGGAATACCCCCATTGCGATGTTACAGGGGAATAGAGAGAAAAACAACCGGATGCGCCCGCCCGCCATTGCCCTATTTCAAGTGACCAATGAACGGGCCCGGAATAGTCATGCGGGGATTTGTAGGTCACATACATTTGGGTAGTCGTGCATTTATGATCGGGTCTAAACAACTACTTGACACAGAACGTTCAAATTTGAGCACACTATAGAGGATAGATAGATCTATTACCATCTCAACGTTGAAATTCAAACTCCTTATAGTTTTCGGTGTACACGATACAAGAGTGTTCCCGACACCAAAAGTATAGGTTAATTTATGTGTACGAACTTCAACGTCCACATATCATTAGTTTGCCCTATTTTCTGATTGGTTGCCGAGTTTCATTCGGATTGGTTCGGAAATAGAGCAGACCGAGGTTGACAAAGTTAGTCACCTACGCTTCGGCCGGGTCCGCAAAATCGCCCGTAAACGGGGACCAAATTTTCGCTGCGCGGGAAAGACCGATTGGCATTGCTAAATTGTTAAATTTACTATTTTCAAACATCAATAACTCAATAAATATTGATTTGTGGCAAAAATGAAGGCCATATTCGTGTCTAGCATGCAAAATACTACTAGGAAAGAAGTATATATATAAAACATGAACATGAGACGGGTGCATAAAATTAAAAAAACACCTAAATCTGTAAAGAACGCCACTTTTTTACCTATTAATGTCTTTACAACTCAAAAAGTACGATAGATATAATATTAAAAATCTGACTAGATTCTGCATTAAAAACTACTAGACTGGGAAGTTTAATTTACATTATACTTCAAGAAATAGGCGAGCTATGACAAATATTGTCTCAAAACGCACTGAAAACCGCCACATTTTTACCTAAAAACGTCTTCATAACAAAAAGTTAAACACAGAAGCATGAAATTTTAAGGGAATAAAGAAAAATGGTGTACAACGTATCAGTCAGTTTGACAAATCACGGCTCCGAAAAATCTTCAAAGCGCACCACAACAACCACTTTCGCAAACGTTTTCAACTGCTTCTTGGATAGGTACAAAATTGTCAAACTGCATACTATGAGATTGACCTCTTTTCTGATTGGCTGCCAAGTTTCATTCATATCCATTCACGAGAAGCGGCGTGAGAGCGAGTTGAAGACAACAACCTTTGCTTCAGTTCGTCCCACGACACATCCCCGCGGCGGGGGCCAAAAATCGGCAGAACAAAACGCGCTCGGTGGGCATTGCTAAAAAATTCGTAACTTTTTTGTTTATTGATGGATTTTAAAAATTCAAAGAGTTCCATGCTCTGAGAAGATACAGCTACAAAAAACACAAATTTTGCAGTAAGTACACTTTCTGACAAAAAATGATTTTTCGTGGTCATTGTGCTAGATTAGGCCTAGAGATCTACTTTATTTAGCTTAGGCTAAGCCCTTAGGCCTTAGGCTTAGGTACCGCAAACTAAAAATTCATTTACGATTCAGTTGGCCTATTTTTTTTTTTGGCAGTCTAGCTTCCATATTAAATATAAGTACGGCTAGCCCAGCTGTCTAGCCGTACATACAGCTAGCCTAGCAGTCTAGAATGACGGCTAGCCTCTTCCAAATTGAAAAGTCAGAAAAGCTTTTTGTTTCCCTTCAGAGATCTAAAACCTTTCAGAATCAAAAACACAGATTCTGCACCTTCTGATCGTCTGAAAACTGTGCTACAAGAGAAATTATAAGCTACAAGCCTTCACTCTAGAGCTACACTTTTACAGTGTGGCGGTGCCAACTCAAAATTAAAACTAAACTTAAACAGTCTGAGTCTGAGCGCGCAGTTCTAAAATGTGTTTACTTACTTGCTCGATGTTGCGTTTGGAAATATGGAGAAAGGATAACAGCAGCTTGACTTTAACGTGAGATTGTAGAGCATGAAAGCAATCTTGAATAGTAATTAGCTTTTCTCTTGTAAGCTGTGAACAGATGCTTTTTCCTGACCATAAATCGTCAGTAGAACCTAGCTTGTTATGGAGCCAAAGCGCTGTGTCTCCAGCGGCCATTTTTGACTACGGAAGTAATGAATGATTGAAATATTGTAGTCAAAATGCGAACCTCTCTATAATTTTCCCAAAACAATCCATATTTACAAAATCAAAAAAAAATAAAGGGATCAGTCCAGTTATTTGATTAGAGGTAGTTTGCATATTCTATATTGTTCTTTTGTCAAACTCTCCATCAAAATTGGGTGAACTTTTGTATTGTTTTGCTGATTCGACTTTACACTTGTTTTTTTTATCCATTTCCTTTATATGCCAATTTGGCTTTTATCACGGTCTTTGATCTTTAATTCCCCGACATTAAATCAACTATAATATTATTATACAATAGTGTTACTGCAAACCCTCAGGTATTTTAAAACGATGATCCACACAAAAAGGTGAGTAGTTCATTCTCTAGATCTAGATATAAATATAATGTTTGCTTACAAACGCAATAAATCAACTTTTTCTAATGTTACTTGACTCGTGCACATGGTCCTGACAAACAAAATCATTGTAAAGATGGCAGCCTCCTTGAAAATAACAGCAAAGTTACCGGTGATATTTGGAAAATGTTTCTTGAATGCACGATGCATCAGGTATCATTGTCTCGCTTGGGAGCTAGATCTGGGAAGATTGAAGAATACCGGACCACTCGTACTATATTGCGCGAGAATGTGGGGTAGGTGGGGCGGGTGGTTGGGGTGGAGGAGGGG